AAGAACCGGTTTTGGGCAAGCGGCGACGCTCCCGACGGACCTCGGGAAGCAGCCGGAGCAACGGAGCGATTTTAACCGGTGCGCGGCAGCGACGCGCGGCTGCCGAGGCGCAGAGTTTGCGACCGAAGAGATGGGCCTGAACGCATACGGCCGCTCTCGCTCTTTTTAGGCAATATTGCTTCACTTGAGCGGATTTCGGACCGTTTTGGGGGGCAAAGAGGAGCGTTTCGGAGGGAGCCTGACCGGCACTGCGCGCGCGGCGGGGCTGAGGCTCGGCTGGCCGGACAGGCGGGCGGTTAGCGCTCGGTGCGTGCCGCAGCCGCGGCCAAGAGCCGTTTCCTCTCTTCTCCCTCCGTTTAGGAGAGGGACGGAACAGTTTTTCCACCTTTCCGGAGAGCGCCCACGTTACCTCAATGTGCTGAAACATGTAGGGGTGGTTACAGATCTTCCGCAGCTGCATGATGGTGTTCATTAAGGTTTTCGTACCGCCTTTACCCTGCGCCGGGGAGAGGAGAGATGTGAATTTAAGCGTACCGACTGCCGTAGCCATCCAGGCGCCGGCCAGGGATATTCCGGGAGTATTTATTTAGCCGGCAATTCACAGCCCCGAGGCTTCGGCGCTGCCCCGCATCCACCCGGAGCGGTGTCTGGCGGCGCGGGACGCGCTGGGTGGGCAGCCCGGCTCTCCCCAACCCCCCGTGGGACCAAGTTGAAGGCGTTAAAACAGACGTTAAAGTCCCCTCGAGGAGCTCACGGCTGACGGAGGGGGTTGGAGCGGAGCTGAAGAACGCGGAATTTTTCACCTCCAGCTTTTAGTCCAGACCCAAGTGCCTTTTTTTAATTTTTTTTTTTTTTTTTCTTTCGATTAATTGCCATTTGACTTTTTCATGGCTTTGGGACAGCGCATTGGTGGCCCGGGTGGGTTTCCCCGGCCGCCGCGGGGGTTACACGCAGGTTACGTGGACGCAGGAGGGTTTCACCCCGGGCTCGCCCCGGCAGCCAGTCCACCGGAGCCCTCTGCTCCGACCCGCTTTTTTTTTTTTTTATTATCATTTTTACTTATAAAAGGGGTTTTCGCTCCATCTGTTGACGCCACAACTGGGGAAAGAACAGCCACCCCCGTCCCCGGGGGCGTTTCCATCCATCCTCACTGGAGGAATCGGCCAAAAGGCAGGACTTTGGCGGCTGACAAAAAGACAGACCTTTTTGTCCTTCTCGGAGCCGTCGGTCAGCAGCACCCCCTTGGCCTGCATGTGTCTGTAGAGGACCCTCTGCAGCGCCGACATGTCGCATTTGAGCACGTATTCCACCTGCAAGGA